TTTTAACAAACATCGCGCCGGCAGACAGAGTAAAGGTTGCAACTAAATATTGTTCTAGAATTAGGTATATTAGGTTAGAATATATTTGTAAGCCTATGCGTATTGGGTAGTTAGTCTCGTTGCTAATGTCTTTGTTTTAATAAACAACGCGCCGACAGACAACATAAAGAAACTTACAAATATATTTTTAGTGTTTAATTTTTGTCTTGGTAATTATTGTGCCGCATCCTTTCAAGGTGCTTTATTTTAGCACCGGGACACATTGGGCCACCACAATTCTGCCTTGATAAATTTTTTACATAGATATAGATATTTTTGAATCTTGTTTATGCCAGGCCAGAGGAAAATTTAAGAAATTGTTTTTATAATAAAATACAGAGTGTTTAAAATCTTTTACAAGTAAGATCAGTCTTAGACTTTGTGTAATTAAATCATATTATTTAAAGTCTTAAATCGTTTTTTGTAATTAATTATATAGACTATATGACATATAGTGTAAATCGTATACGTAGTGCGTTTAATATGGAAATCAACACGGGATTACTTGAAATATTATTGTATTACATTATTGTAAGGTAAGTACAATTTAACCTATGCTTTCAAACTTCCAACAATCTATTGCGTGATAAACCATTAATAATTAATGAGAGAAACAATTAACGAGAAAATTAATTTAAATAAAATTGAAGACATTAAAATTACAAAAACTTATAATAAATAATGATTATAATAATTTACTAAGTAGCCACCAAAATTTCTTTTTATATTTAACTTATGTTTTTCTTTTTATTTTTGGTTTATTACATTGTATTGGCTTTATGTTCAATGGTTTGGCTGGACCCCATTGGATACTATAAAACCAAACTAGGCGTATAATAGTTTTGTATAGTAATAGTTTTGTTTCAAGTTGAAGTTTTAAAATAAGGAGAGGACGTAGAAGATGTAGTCTGTTTCTTGCACTTTTTCTTTTTTCTTTTAGATTAGGGCCCCACGTCAATCGTTTTTTAAGTGTAATTCCTAAATACTTGATCTCTTCTTTTATTGGTATAAGAATATTATTCATAATAATTTAAGGACATTCTTGTGGTTTGAAATTTAGAGTGAATGTGATTTGAGCAGATTTATCTTCATTGATTTTTACCATTTTTTTGCCCACAAGTCAGTAAGGTTGGCATGATATTGGAGTGAAAGACTGGCTGCGTTAGGATCACTATTAATCGATAATACTGCTGTATCGTCTGCGTATGTGGCTAAAATTGTTTTATTAGTTTGAGGGATATCGGCAGTGAATGCATTATAAAGGTCTGGTGATAAATCACTTTCTTGATGTACACCTGCATTTATTTTTTGGTATGATGAGAATTCATTTCCTTGGCGAACGACAAAGTGTCTGTATTCCAAATATAATTTTATAATGAGAAAATATGGAGCAGGTAAATAGTGTTTTAATTTGAATAGTAAGCCTTCATGCCAAACCCTATCAAAGACCTGCGCTACGTCCAAAAATAGATCGGCCAATAATGTTTATTTTCAAGCGTTGTTGCAATTTCATCAGTTATTTGGTGTATTTAATGTATTGTTGAATGTCTGTTGCGAAACCTAAACTGACTATTTGATACAATGTTATATAATGATACATAGGACGTAGTCTTCCGAGTAATATTTTTTCGAAAAGTTTTCCTAATACTGATAATAAACTTATTGGTCTGTAAGACGTAGAGAGATGTTTTGGTTTGTTTGGCTCTGGTATTAAAATAATAGTTGCGAATTTCCAGATTATAGGAAAATATGTTAACCTTAGCATCGCATTGTAAATGTAGGTTAACAAAGCATGGTTTTTTGTGATACATTTTTAAAAATTTTATTGGTAATTAGATCATAACCGGGCGCTTTCCCTAGATGATATTTTTTTATTAAATACTCTACTTCACCTGGAGTTGTATATTTGGCTGGTAAAACCACTGGTAGTAAAGTTGTTCAGAAGGTTTTTAATTCTTCATTCAAGTTACTGCCTGAGTATAAATTAGTATTGGGAATGAATGTTCTTGCCAATTGTGCCGCAAAAATGTTGGCTTTATCTTGATTCGCTAAAGTTCCATTTTCTTGGCGTATTAGAGGTATACCTAACAACAAAACGTAATGTCAGGTTTAGCACTGAGAGACGGTCAATAGCTCGTCTCCTACCTACTAGCATCCGGTGGAGGTAACAATAGCGATGGTGGTTTTGTAATAAACAAAAAAAAAATAAAAATGAATGAGGGGGGTAAAAATGAAGTGGTATCTCGGGGTCGAACTATATTTATTTATTAAATAATAAAATATCCCTACCTCATTTATTCCTATTCTTGTTTATTACGTGATTTTTTTTAGAAGTAAGGCATGCAAATAAATATTCGCACTTACCTTTATTTTCTTTTGTAATTGACTGAGTTAGTTTTATGGTGATTTCTTCCTTCAGTGTCAATAGTCGTTTATACTGTCTTACGTTTATTTCGATTAATTAGTCTCTCTGTGTATATTAGATTGAGAAAAGGGGTTCCCTACAATGAGACTTGCGTCTATTATACTTTGTTACCTTTTTTTTTTTTTTTAAATTCCTTTTATATTATACTATGTTTTTACTAATATTTTCGATGAATTTCCTACAGTCGATATCGATATTCTTAAAATTTACTCTGAACTAGTCAAAATATAATTATAAGAATATGTCTATCTATATTCAAAATATAATTAACAAGACTGTGGTTAACCTCGTTAATATATTTTAAATATTAATTCAATACACCTTTTACTATCCTTTAAGTCAACTGCCTACACTTTACCAAGAGATAATTTTCATTTACTATTTTACTTACGGTATTAAACTTTGAAATACGTATTGAGAAAAAGACAGAAGAAAACGCTATCTTTTCATGATTACTGTGTATACATATGATGATAGTGTGTATACATTACAAACTTGGCATAAATACCATGAGAAGAAATTAGATAAGGCAATTATTACTTATCACTCTCATTCAAAAGTATATTGAAAAGATAGCGTTTACTTCATCCGGCGTATAAAAAGCCATTTTTTCTCGTTAAATGACGATGTTGACGACTATGACGAGGTTGACGACGACTGCTCTCTCCTCTCTTGTGGCTTTGCTCTCGTTCTCTCAATATTCTCTTACATGGAATCTGCGTCAGTATAAGTAAATATTTTGTCCCTGCAACTTAGTTTTTTTTTTTATATATCTTCTTAAGTGGTGAACATTGTCTTAGATGATTTATTAATATTTTACAGGAACAAGTTTTTACTTATTTTTATTATTACCTAATGTTCTCACGACAAATAAATATAATCTCTATTTTTTATATAAAGGTTTTAAATATTATTGTGCCCTTTATTTCTGGACAGCCTCAAATGTGCCGAAAAGTGTGAAGAAGCGTAATTTTATTTATATAGGCATAATAGCCTTATACATTATCGTATATTCATAATAAATCTTATTGTGCCTTACATTTATGAACAGCCTTAAATGTGCCAAACTAAATGAAGAAGCATAATTTGTGTTTAGAATTAATTAGTTTTAGTAGTAGTACTTTATGTCAGTGTACCCGCCAGCTCTAAGGGACTATGCCAAATTACTTCTCGGTAAAGTGTAGGCGGCAGTTAAGGTACAGAGTAGTACTAAACTTATNCGTATAGGCAGTTGAGGTACAGAGTAGTACTAAACTTATAAGAAGAGTATTTTTGAAGTGCGCTATATCCGTCGACAAGCCAGTTCTAGAGCTAGTAGTCCGGGTATAGTTCATCATAAAATATATAGTCCGTAAGATAGGTAACTACATTTTGGAAATATTCTCTGCGTGTGTACCCGCCAGCCATAAAGGACTATGCCAAATTATCTCTTGGTAAAGTGTAGGCAGTTGACTCAAAGGATAGTAAAAGGTGTATTGAATTAATATTTAAAATATATTAATGAGGTTAACCACAGTCTTAATTATATTTTGAATATAGATAGACATATTCTTATAATTATATTTTGACAAGTTCAGAGTAAATTTTAAGAATATCGATATCGACTGTAGGAAATTCATCGAAAATATTAGTAAAAACATAGTATAATATAAAAGGAATTTAAAAAAAAAAAAAAAAGGTAACAAAGTATAATAGACGCAAGTCTCATTGTAGGGAACCCCTTTTCTCAATCTAATATACACAGAGAGACTAATTAATCGAAATAAACGTAAGACAGTATAAACGACTATTGACACTGAAGGAAGAAATCACCATAAAACTAACTCAGTCAATTACAAAAGAAAATAAAGGTAAGTGCGAATATTTATTTGCATGCCTTACTTCTAAAAAAAATCACGTAATAAACAAGAATAGGAATAAATGAGGTAGGGATATTTTATTATTTAATAAATAAATATAGTTCGACCCCGAGATACCACTTCATTTTTACCCCCCTCATTCATTTTTATTTTATTTTTCTAAAATTCTACTCTACAAAATAGCTACNTAAAATTTTTCTTAAATTCTACTCTACAAAATAGCTATCTTAGATTTTTTTTTTACATTTTATTTAAAATTTAAAAATAATTAATATTTTTAATAAAATGTAAAAAAATTAATTATTGAAATATAACTGTAATATAAAAATATTAACTGGATCAAAAGTTATTTAAGTTGTCAGTGAGTGGTGGGCCACCCTGTATAATTCCTGACAATAAATTCAAAAACCCTAGTAAGACATAAAAAATAGAAAATTACATTTTTCAATGTTTTTAAAAGTTAATTTAGTAGAAAATTTAGTTAAATAATATGTAAAATAAACTTTTGCAAATGTTAATATCTTTATTAAAAATTTGTATTAAAAACATATTTTTGCAATGAGTCATATCCCAAAGAGTTCATTTTATTATTATAAATTATTGATCGGTATGTACAGTGAATCAAGGTAAGTATTTGTTGATATCAAGATTGTATATTTAAGTAAAAAATATATTATGATTGTTTTGTATCAATATTACTTGCATTATATGCAAAAATTAAATTGTATTATAAATATTTTACTAAACATTGATGCAACTTAAATTACAACAGTAATTAATTAAAGTAACATTTCATGCATACATCTAGTTAAATTACACAATAGTTGAACATATTTACAAAAAAAATAGTTTCAAATGAATTTCTCTACCAATATTTTATATTAAATAACACTCATACACTCTTCCGTGACAAAAAGTAACTACAAAATGGTTGTTATTAGACTAAGTATAATCGATTCGATTTTTAACTTTAATAACTTTTTAAACTTTAACAGATTTCAAACCGAGATTCGGGTGTAATTTTTTGATTAATTTCCAAACTAAAAACTTAATAAAACGAGCTTCGAATTTGAAGTAATTTGGCTTGATCTTGAGTTAAGCATTGTTTGGTTTTTGTTAAATTTAATAAATTTTAAATTTGTCACATCATAATTAAAAACGCTATCTATCTTATTGTCATTGGGACAATAACAAAACTTAACTGAATACTGATAACATTAATATATTTATTCATAAAATTTAAGTATAGCCTGTACTACCAAAACATTGATTAACAACAATAACATTTTTTAAAACATTTAATATTACGAATTGATACAACAACTTAGGGCAATACTTCCATGTCGTGTATAATTTTTAAACAATTTATGAATTCTTAATTTATTTTTGCATGTATATTTCAACCTTATACGAATATTACAATTAAAAACTCATAATTTCAAAAAATGTATAACATAATGTAACATAATACTGAAATAATTTGAAAATAATACTCAAAAAAATTCATATCTTAAATAGCTTATACCTATAATTTTTTAATCATTTATATTATATTTCTAGAAAATTGTAAATTTTCATACATTTTCAAAAAGGCGATGAAATTAATAATTATTTCACTGGTTAATCATATATTTTATAATATTTCTAAGTTGTAGATGAAAACAGTATGATCTTTTTCAAGAAATTTGATTTCAATTTAATAATATACCGGAGTTTATAACTTAGTTTTTTGTTTTTGCTTAGAAACCAATAAGTGTGTGATGAAATACATTAATTAAACAACGAAATCATAACTAAATAAATAGAGATACGTCACATACAACACATATAAAAACAGTAACAAAATTATTTTTAGGAAGACGCAAACATCTCTTCGTTTAAACGATATTGAGCTCTATACTAAGTAATTTCAGTCGATGCAACAATGCGCCAAAATAAATTTATGGCCGAAATACTATTTTTTATACACAGCTTTCTGGCCCAGGTATACCGTTGTTTGTGATCGACACGAAACACGGCTTGTTTAGTTCCTGTTGGATAGTGACGTCCGGTGCGTCGCAATGTCTCCCATCCAAGTCAAGGTGTGGATAAACATTTTGTTGTTGGGAAAGCAAAGAGTATTTTTTACTGGTTCCATTGGCACATTGTGTTTCACCATTCCCATTAATCACCATTCGATTGGAACTTACGGTTGTTTCTACTGCTAAAGATCGATTCTCTCCTTTTTTCCTAAGTAGTAAAAATAACACAAAAACCACAACGATAGTTCCTACAGTAATTAGCACAACGCCTGTAGTTGCTGTTTCACCGCTTATGTAATTGTTCTTATTTCTTCGATTACCACCAACTCCATTATCGCCACCACCTAACATTATCCACCATTCTGTGAACAATCCAATCGTATTAGATTAGTAAACAAATCATTTTCTTATTAAATTCAAGAAGACCAAAGTTCAAGTTTATAACAAAAATTAACCTTATTTCTTAGGATTTATCTTTCATTAACGATTTTATAGATAATAAAATTTCGTAATAAAATAAAATTATCTGTAAAACTATTGAATTTGTCAATATTATAAAAAAAAATTCCTGAGAATTATGTAAAGTTTCTTCAGGTCTTAATAATAATTATTAAGATCTATATTAAAACAAAAGTATTAATTATTAATTGTGACTATTAAACAAAATTTTAAAAACATTTTTTTTTATAAACAAGCATGTTTGTCTGTTGACATACATACTTACTTTTGAAAACTACACGATTTCGAAAAAAGTTTTTATGTTAACCAAAACAGTAGTCTTTTAATATTTCGTAAGTGATATATAAGTAATATTATAATGTAATCATGTGTTTTTCTCTGGAACTGTCCTCGTTAAATAACAGAGTCCAAAACATTTAATAGCCCAAGGAAAGATTCCGAGCACGTGCCTTTTTACTACTTTAAAAACTTCTAGACCTTACGTGATTTTTATAGTATTCTACTCTTCACATTAAAATTTCTGACTTATATATAAATTCACCTAAATAGTCATAATGGTCATTTTTAATTAGAATAGATGAAATCCTGTAACCAGTAAAATTATAATTATTAATAGAGTTGAATATATTTAACTGAAAGTACATTCTATATTATTTATTATTAAAAAAGCATAGCTCAATGCCGATTTTATATTTTATTAGGACAAATCTAACACTGATATATTTTATAAAATTAAAAAAAAAATTATTTTTGTTAGAAATAATGTTATTTGTTGTTAAACTTTGGCCAATTGAAATTATTTATGGTGTTTACATAACAATACCAGTTGAGGTAGTGCCGGAAATAGCTATTTTCGTGCTGATCTCTTCGTTTCCGCCATTCCACCACCAAGGATGTCTAAGAGATATGGTGTTCTCGCCGCCAATTCGCACATCAGGACTACGGCCCATCCGATTGACAGCGTAAGCAGACAAACTTAAATACCTGCGGTTATCGCTATCGCCAATTTTCAATTGCAAAAGTTTACGACTAATGGTGTATTCTACTCGATTATCTTCTACCATAACACCGGTAACATTACCAACTAACCATTCATTGTGACGGCGACGAGTCTGCTCATAATCATCACTAGTTATACTTTCGCTAAAAAAAATATTAGTTTTCAAAGAATTTTTTTCCCTTGAGTGAAAATTCTACCTACCCGTAATTTCTGTACGAAGAGATCAACAGTAAACCTTCATAAACTTCAAGAGCGTACATTACTGGATTCATCCCACCATCGCTCCCAGCGTTACAACTTACTATGGCAGAATCATTATTACTTTTTCTAGAGTCGATATTCTGCTGGTTTCGATGACTGTCTTGGTTATAGTGGAGATCGTGGTCTTTGGGCATTTTAACCACGCAATTTGTCAACGCAGAAGGGGCCGCTAAACATAAAATTGTTTGTTACAAACGCATTAATTTTAATAACTTTATATTGCAATTATAAATATATCATTTGATAACTAGAAATTGTTGAAAAATCCTTACACGCTCGGACTAGGTAATAAATACAAGGCATCAATTGACGTCCGACCGAGTTGGTTGCTTGACAGCTGACTGTATTGAGTACTTGCGACTCTCCGTTTGACGATCCTTTCAAATGATTGCTTACCATCGTATTCGCCCTGTCCATCATGTAAATGTCCTGTGCTGAATCATGTGAAATGCTTACTTTTAAGACTAGCTGGCCATAAGCTATCATTGTCATTGCAGTGTCATTTTTGGTCGTATCGGATAAAGCGGTCGTCACGTAACTGTCTGCCATTGATGCGCTAGCTCCTGTGTTTTGATTGTTAGGGTAATGATGGTGATGCTGATGTATACTAGCAGTACCGATTGCGGAACCAGCAGAGACGGCACCAGGCCATACGAGCCAGTCAAACTGCACTTGATCATCAGGGTCGGCTCTTACTCGACAAGTTACATGCACGTTTGTTTCACCAATACCTTCAACACCTACCAACTTTGGGCGTCTACTATCGTTTTCGTCAGCACATGTCGGAGCATCTGAAAAATTAAGCGAATATCTAAAATAGGATAAATTTCTTAAGTAAGCTATATTGTAACTATTGAAACAAGTATTACATAAAATAAAGTTTTTAATAAGAAAAAAATGAATGCATAATAATTGTTTCAAAGGGCTAGATAAACCAACAAGTTTCTTATAAATACATAAATTGTGAGGTATGTTCAAAATATAACTTTAACTTTAGGAAGTATATTTAAAAATGCTAAACCAAAAACTGATCAAATACCGTTGAAAAATAATATCAAAGTTATAATAAAACTGTCATGAAATAAAATATATTTTATCCTGTTATGCAGAAAATATTTATTATTTCACTTAATTTTAATGTTATGTTTTTATTTTCTATTGAGTTTGTCATATTCATTTCGTGAACAAACATATAGGATAATTATTTTAATTTTAGCAACTCCTTTTATAATATATTGTATAAGAACATTTTCTATGGTATTTTTTTAACTTTATATATTGCTTGGTTCATTGATTATTAAGTTTGTTTTTTAATGCAACCCTTATAACTTATAAGGGATTAAGAATACCAAAAAGAATTTTCTTAACATAATTATTGTTACAAGAAATATCGAGTTGCAAATATGATTAGAATACTTTTGTATATACTCCTGTATAAGGTAATGCAAAATACTCGAGGAACTCTCGTTAAATGATCTTTACAATATTTTTTCAAATAGAGTAACAGGTTATGTTATATTTTACTTACATCGAACACGTAACTGCACTGGACGCGACCGTCCAATTCCTAGCTCGTTGCTACATTGACAAGTATACTTTCCCGAATGACGACGATTGACATTTCTAATAACTAAAGTTCCCGTACTCAGAAGTACATTTGTGATATCTGAACTACCACTGTTACTACTACTATTTTGCAGTATCGGTTGTCCCTAAAAGAAAAATCATAAATAACACCGTGATCAAAAAAAAACTTTAGTACTAAAATGCTTCTTAATAGACTTACATCATGATACCATTCTATTTTATTGCGATTTCGTTTTACACCTCTACCACCACCATCGTTCATGGATACAGCACATTCAAAATATACATCATCTCCAGTTTTGATCCTACGGGGATCAAAAGTACGACCCAAACTGAGCTTAACAATTGGAGGATCTATAAAATGTAAATTTATAAAAAAATTTTTTATTTATTTGAATAATAAAAATAATATTGACATGATGCATTCCAATTTGATAGGCATGTGAGTATTAGGGAAAAAATATTCAACTTCTACAATATTAAAATATTTAATATACAGGGTGATTATTTTATCATAACCCACTCAATTACTTACAGAATAATAATAATTTAAACATTTTTTTTATTACTATCTTTAGTTACACATTATTCTTGAATTATTAACTATATAATACTTTTTAAGTTCATCCCTTATGTCTGGTAAGCGTGTCAACTTTGTTTTTTTAAATGGTAACACGTATTTTTAATTTAATAAAATGTTTGAGTTTTTAATTCAATTGTAAATGGCATTTAAATTTTTAATGAAACTTAATTTGTTTATTAGATATAAACATTTAAAGTTTCAAATTTTTTAGTTAATATATAGGTATAATACACAAGGGATTACAAATACAGGTAGCTAATTGATTTTTTATGACATCGATATTAGCAGGTACACAGCATTGTTATTATCAATGGTAGTAAGGCATATTGTTATGAGTTTATAAATACACTAACTGAAAATACAGAAAGTATATCTTTGATAGTCATAATTGATAATAAAAAATCCGTGACTGCGATAGCAATATCATAAAAAACCAATTAGCTAAGATCTAATTTGCCCTATTTAGAATTTGATTCCCTAACTTTTTCGTGCCTTGTATAAATAAATACTTATTTTTTATGTTCCTTAAAATTAACTATCATAACACACTGAAAGAAAAAAACAATTACCTAAAAAATTTTTTTTATTCAATTTAACCTGATGATCAAATTAAGGATTCCATTAAAAAATAAAAGTTCATGATAGATTAAGGAATGCATGATTGAACATTTAATATTTTAATGGTATAGCTCAACAAAAAAATTATTATTGTTTCAAAAAAATTAATGATTAGATCATACATTTTCAAAAATATTTCGTAAGGTGTAGTTAAAGAATCACCATATACAGGGTAGCCCACCACTCACTGACAACTTAAATAACTTTTGATCCAGTTAATATTTTTAGCTGATTTTTTTTTAAATATTAGTTAGACGTTAGGTCTATAGCTATATCTCAATAATTAATTTTTTTACATTTTATTAAAAATATTAATTATTTTAAAATTTTAAATAAAAAGTAAAAAATAATCTAAGATAGCTATTTTGTAGAGTAGAATTTAAGAAAAAATTTAGTAAAAAAATATCTTATTAATATTCAGTAGTAAATATTCTGTAGCGTTTTGAAGTTTGTGAAATTTTGAATTTTCATGTACTATTTTACGGTATTAAACATTGAAATACGTATTGAGAAAAGGACAGAAGAAAACGCTATCTTTTCATGATTACTGTGTATACATATGATGATAGTGTGTATACATTACAAACTTGGCATAAATACCATGATAAGAAATTAGATAAGGCAATTATTACTTATCACTCTCATTCAAAAGTATATTGAAAAGATACGATCTTTTGGCGTATTGTTGAAAGAAATCGGTCCAGTGAAAAAAAAAACAAATCATAGTAAAATTAATACCTTCTCAGCTTCGCATCGAAGCTAAATATATGAATTTGTACCATTAAGTTATAATTAATAAAATATTTAAACTATTATTATTAATAACAATATTTTTATCAGACGGAATGAAAAAAATAATTTATTTAATTACCTGAAGTACATTATAACATGATCTGGTAATTTACTTAGGTTTTATGAATAAATGGAAGGGATAAAAATTACAGTAAAAAAAACAATGAAACTTAATAACACTTTGTAAGCGTGTAAATATTAACTTAATATTTAATATTATGTTAACGTATTATTCAAAAACTGATATTTACATAGGACATTCATTAGCACCGCATCGCTTTTTATAATGTTGTCGTTGGTAGTATTAACATCGGGATTCCATGCTCGACATCGTAAATACCGTCCGTCATCACTCGGCATAGGCCTCAACCTTATAGTGCTACTGTCTCCAGATTGCTGTCAAGGAAAAAAAAACTTTAATAAAAACTATAAGTCCGTGGAAAATACGTGCAGGATAAAAATAAAAAACTAATTTTAATAAGCATAAAAAAAACGATGTTTTCTAAACTTCAAAACAAACTTACTTTTATTATTGTCAATCTTGTAGCAGACTGAGAAGCAGCCTCGTCAACAGTTACAATTTGAGTACTGTTTCCATCTATTGTCCACTGAATATTAGCCTTGGGACTTGCTCCTTCTGATTGGCATTCGGCCGTATACCATTTACCGGCTACTAAATTATATTGCACCAACCCTTTTTTGTCAATTTCTTGATTATCATTAGGCATTGTTTCTACTGGTGCAGACGATTCCACTGATAGTATTTTTAATACGCGTACCCTTTGTACGTTCACTAAAATTAATAATTCATCTTTCATTATTAGTGTGTAATTAAAAATTACACCATAATATGGTATGATTATTTAAAAAATCATTATATTATGATAATTTTGTAATTTAAAGAGCAATATACTAAATTATATATTTACTCAAAGATGCGTTATTTAATTATTATATGTAAAATTTAACAACACTACTCATAATTTTGCGAAAATTTGATTGTCATATTTAATATTAGTGTTTTGTTTAAAAATGTTATAGCGTCTAACTTACATATCCTTTCAATGAAAATTGACAATTGTTCATGATGGAATATAAGCTTATCCATTAATTTTAAATCGTTATTATTTAAAAATAGATACATTTAATTTTTTTTGTTAACATTTTAATATGATGTATACATTTATAATAAGTTTTCTTGTAAATATGTATACACAATTCTCATATATGAATGCATACTTCATATAATTTTTATTTTAGTAAAAGTATTATTCACTATATAGATACTGTAAAAATAATTTTTAAATTTTAACTTAAGTATTTTCTTTAAATACATTTCATGAAGATTTTATGCCATACATCATGTTTAAGAGATATAGAGGTAAAGTAATACTATATATAATATATTAATCTTAAAGTTAAATGAAATTCCGTTGCTTTCAAAATTTCTCTTGATATACTAAAAAAAATAGTTTTCAACAATTTTGTTTACATTGTAATACTTAAAGTTTTTGCCTGTGAATAAGTCAAGATTTATGTATTTTAATTATGTATTTATTATATAGTTCCGACAATGTTAAGTATGTTTTACGAATCATAATAATGTCATGTTTATCATGCATTCATCTATAATATTAATAAGGCTGTTCATGAGAAAATTTACAATTCAATATAATGTAATAATTGACTATCCAAGTTGTTCATCGTGTATAATTTGTATAAATATACTTTATATGCTTAAGACATCAACTTTCTTACTTGAATTTTAAAACAGGTATATTCAATAGATTTTATTTCATCATAAATAGAAAAACATTATTTTTTTAAATAATTTAATTGGCAAAAGATTTCTAAAATATGTTTAAGTCACAGTATTGGAAGGGAAAGAACAATGCTTAACTATATATTTTTCAATGCTCAATTTATAACATTTAAAGATCATAAAACTTACAATATATATTTATGCTGACGGCCCTTCGTAATGTTGATTCTAAAACATGTTCGGTTCCTGCACTACACATATATGAGCTATTTGCGTGATTTCTGTTCAATTGTTTGATAGTCAATTTTTTAACAGTCATTAATGATCCATCAGAATCGAAGGTTTCATCACTTACAGAATTAACAATCTCATTAAAAATAAATTTCTTACTATCCACAATAGAATACCATTGAACGTGAGGTCTTGGTTTTCCTGTAGTTGGCAAAAATCGCACAATTAATTAAAAAATGAAACTATTCACTTAGTAAGTTATCGATTTTTCAAAGCTTTTAACGATTTTCATTTAATACTACTATGCACATTAGAGTATTAAGCCATAATTTAAGTTCATGTAGTATTATAATAATGTATACTACAAAATGACCAAAGTAATTTTAATTGATGTCGTATAATACCAACTTATTAATTATATTCAACATATGAGGAACAATCTATTAGTTCATGACATGTAATAACATTTCCATTCGTATAAAAATGTAATTTACAATAAATAATCTCGTGTTCAAATATGTCATGAATGCCTTTTTTCATACAAATAATTCCGCTAATTTATCATAGAATATAACAGTAAAATCATTATTAATTGGCTGCACTCAAAATGATATTAATTTTAGCATAAAATAATTTTACACGATTATTATTACTTTAAATTTTAATTATTCATTTTGAATTTAAAAAATTGGAAATAATTTATACTACTTCAGAACTCTAAAAAAGATTTTAAATATTTTTTTATGTATTTAACACTTATTTCATTTTATAGTGATTTTAATTGATAATAATTATATAATTATAATTTATAGTGATTATAATAATTTATTAGGTTATCGTACAGCAGTCAACAACAAAAAAAATAGTTTTGTAACAAATTATCATTATGTATAATGAAATATATTATACGTTGTATATAATAAAAACATAAAAAATTTTTTTCATTTTTTTAGCGCTTTGCATTGACAAAAATTTCAGTAAATTTTTTTACTGTGAAGTTACATTAATCACAAAATAACTATGAGAAATTTTCAGCTGACATAATTTACTTTCTTGGATATAAAATCTAATTAACAAGACTTGTTACTTATACTTATTACTATCTTTTGTTCTATAAAAAGTTTTTTAATTGAATAAATCTGATGTATATTTGTGAACCACTAACTATAATCATAATTAGATTAATAAGTTTATCAAATACCGAATTTTGTACCATAACTATGGCTAACATTAATACTGTGAAACACATGTACATAAGTAGTGAAAATTTCACTGTATAATTATAACCATTTTAAAGCTCAGCATTAATATAGACTTATGTCTCACGGGTAGTAGAAATATTTACAAGTTATAAGGGAAAACAAACAACAAGCAAGCTGAATTTAAAGTTCTCGACTGCCGCTCATAATTACCATTCAACGTCATCATAATTACTTATTAAAAGTCCCTGCTATTTGGATAGTATTCTCGCTCTAATTACTGTAAGCATACATTACACACCAATTATTATATTATCGTACCTTGACACATTAATTACACAACACCCATTTTGCTGTCTACAATATTTATGTGAAATCTGAATTTTGACACTATTCCAAAACTAGTTTCAGATTTTTTTTACACACTTTTAGTTTTTAAATTATTACAAATTAGTAATTAAGAAATAATTAAACAATTAAACCATTATGATAAGTAGAAAAATAATATTATTGTTTTTTTATTTTCTATGATATTTAACAAAAGTTGTGCAAAATTTAGGCCTTATCCATCAATTTTAACTGTCAATTTATAAACCTGAACATTGAAATCAATTTCAGAAAAAGAAAACTATAAAATTTTCCTTTGTTACTATTTGTAGGTTAATTTCATAACTATAAAATTAATATAAATAAATAAATAATTTTGTAGGGATTTAAATGTATAATTTTTTTTTTGTTTTTACATAACCAACAACCAGGACGACTGCATAGTAATAAAAAATAAACGGAAATCTTAAAAGTGTTGAAAAAATAAAATTTTATTTTCATAAGAATATAGTTTTTTTTTTTATGTCTATTACTACTATTTCTCAGTTTTCACCAGACCCATTTCTTTCAATGATAAGTCAAAACATAACAAATTATATTTAGTTAAAGACATTGCTCTTTAAAATTGAAAAAAATCCCTCTTTCTCTTTAAATGGGAAAATATTCTCCAAAAAAATGACGATTTTTAAAAACTTTGAATTTTTGAATGGTCAGATTTTCAAAAAATATATATATATTTTTTGAAAATCTGACCATTAACCTGCCCACAGGAGAGACTTTATTATAGCACAAAAATTTAACTTTTTCAACATAAGTTTTAATTGTGTACCGGAAATACTCAGAACCTCAAACATATGTTAAAATAAAGCTTACGTTGTGTACTATAAGTTAAAAATTTTTCCCCACATCTTATCTTGAATGTACAAATGGCAGTAGTTAAAAAACATGCTATTTTAGTGGTAAAATTTTTGATTTTATATTTTAATTGCTATAACCTTTTGAAAAATGTATGTATCAATTTTTTTTAAAAACGTTTTATACATCTTTACTTTTCTACAAATAACAAAAAATGTTATATAGAAATGAGAAATCATCATTTTTTGTATTATTATAATTTTTTTTCTATTAATTTTAGGTCAAATGTTATATTTCTATAGAAGGGTGGGGGTAAGTACCCTATTAAACCCGCTTTTATAAAATCGATTTCAGTGTTAACGTTAAATATTTTTCAGTTTTTAATGACAGTCCTATAAGTATGTTAAATTGATAAATTGCGATAACAAAAAACAGAGTGATTTTTTTACTATTTACTCGTTAACCATTCTTATCTACTTTATTTCACTTAAAATAATAATCATGTTAAGAAAATTTTATATAGTATTTTTTATTTTAATATATCTTAAATTATAATAATTGTTTAAATTCATTATTTATAACTTATAAGAGTGTTGACATAATTTTTTTAAATGGCGACATACATATTTGACTAGTTTATAAAATAAAAAATTATGTAATTTGACCAGTCAATGACAATTTTTGAACATTATTTCGGAAGTTATAATTATTTTAAATATAGAATGGAGGTGATGTGTTGGTTATATTATTTTTATCATTACGCATTATTCTTCCACGATTTTCCTCTAATTTATATTTAAAAATCTTAATAACTTCTGAAATTATGGTCTAAGGTAGTTATCAACTAGTGATATTCTGAATTATATCATTTTTTATATTATTAGCTAGTCATATATGTATATTACCATTTAAAAACAAAGTTGATATGGATATAACGTGTTAAGAATAAATTAAAAAAAAACTTAATTGTTAATAAACTAAGAAATATATAAAATTCAAAAATATCATTAAGAATTTTCTTCATATAATTATTATTAAAAAAAAAACCGAGTGGCTTATATTAATAGAATCACTTTGTATTCAACAAATAAAACTTATTATAATTTCTCCGTAAAAAATACAAAGCCAGATTGTTAAATATCAATACTAAATGTGATTACTATAAGTATCTACAATATTCATGTATTATACTTATAAATCATAAAACTTATAATCAAGATATAAATAAGGGAATCGGTGTTCTTGTTGCTTTTGGAATAATCCAATAATTTCATTTAAAAATTAAACGCTACAGGTTTGTATGTAGTGATTTTAACTACTGTCAGATACTATCTACACTTGTCCCAAACTGTGGAGCGATCCTGATGTGCTGTGGTTTTTAGTACAGGTTTAGTGAGTTTGAAAAAAAACTTATCAGACTTAATAGTTCTGTTAAACAATTGTTGCTTAAAACAATGGTGTAATAACAGCAAAATACTATACTATATTCACCTAAATATTGTAGTTAGAAAAATTGAAAAACAATGTTTTCATTATTTTTTATCTCAATTGTATTGCATCTATAATGTTCGGTTTTCTAAAAATAAAATTTTACCTATTCTAGTTGTTCATAATATATTTACTGAATCATAAAATAAAATTAAATATAGTTGTTATTGATAAAATAGTAATCTGCCAAATAAGTAATTTAACAGTGAAATGTTACAAGTGTCATACTTCTGGAGCCATTTTGCGACTAACAAAATTTTTATACAAATAAATCGAATTCTATTCTACAACCATCTATATTTCTAGCGCTATTTTTATTGTATAATATTTGTTTTACCTCCTCGGACAATGCACGTCAATACCAAAGAACTACCTTCCGGAATAGGCCCTACTTCGTTCTGGTCATCATCAATTTCTGTTATATCTGCCTTTAGTGTGCCTGTATCATATGCTATCGACATTTTATCTGGAGGCACTGACAATTTCAAAAACATAATTACATGTACTTGAACAAATATTATAATGAAAAAAATTATTTAGGTTCTTTATTATTACCTATAACCCGTAATATTATTCTGTAGTTTCTTGTAGGAGCATCTTTAAAGTCTACCCTACATCTGTATGCTCCGCCATCCTGTTCTGTGATATTGACAACCCTAAGAGCAGCTCCGCCAATTTTATTGTAATTTACGCTTGTTTCTTTTTCCGAGTAAGATAGACTTATACCATTTTCTCGTTGCCATAAATCACTGCTGTTTGAAAACATGCCTCGCTCCAACAATCCACCAGCTCCATTAAAAACCACAAACAATGCTCTAGAGCCAAAACCTCCATTTTGTTCTTCCGAAGACCATTTTAGAGCACTAGCCAAAGGACGACCACGTATATCAAAACTAGTTACACAAAAAAAAAATATAGACATATAGTTAGAAACATATATTTTAAATATTATGACAATTAGCTCAGTAATCCAATTAAAAAGTTACAGATGATATGAAATAACACATTTTTGTTCTTATTACAAAATAAAAACAATAATTAAATTACATGATTCTAAGCCATTATAACGTCGCTTGGCGTACAAAATTCTTACGTGAAAAAAATATTTAAAAAAATTAAATTAAACATCTACTACTAGATAGAGTATTATTTTCTGAATCTGGGAGTATTAAATTTCTTAATTTTCATTTTTCGTATACAGGAGGTTTTTCACACAAAACGATGATGTATCGGTTATGCTCAAGTAAAATGCTTAGTCTATTATTAAACACACAATCATTTCTCCATCAGAACATTATATAATATTAATATAACACATATATTTATGAATTTTTAATTTAGCAAAGCAATATAACAACATTTATTGAGTGTTTATAAATAGTAATTCAAATTTTCAAAGTCATTTTTCCTCGTTTAGGAGGGGGGTATTAGCAAAAAATTCAATGTAGATTAGATTCATATAACTTTTTTGAAAATCGGTGATCCCATCACCGTAACCTCCTCTTGTAAGTCAACTAATACCTTTTTTTTACCTGTAAATTGGTTTTCCTCCAGAAGGTAACCTATTTGGCTTATTATTTCGATGATGGCGAATAGACTGTTGACGAGAATGATATTTAAACCATAAGACCATGTAAGCTCTGTCTTCACCTTTCTCACCAACACCATTGACGTTTTTCGGTGATGAAAGTAACGGGTTGTTATGGCTTCCACTACCACCACCAATGTCACATGGTAGCCAAGTTGCTGATCCTCGAACTGCCGTCACGACCACAGTACTCACTGTAATACAATGTTTTAATTGAATAAAATTACTATTAATACAATAAGAAAGTAAACACTACATTTTTAAATATTTAGTTTTATTTTAGGTTGATTAATTTTACATTTATAAAATATTTTTAAATCCACTATTGGCGCGCAAACAAGACTATAGAGTTGTAAAAAATAAAGAAAATTGATAGCGGTCTACTGTAGGTATATATAAATACATATATATATATATATATATATATAGGTATAAGAGCAATATTTTGTGCGTAAACGATTTAACCATTCCACCTTATCCTATATGAAACGCGGCAAAGAGTGGTAGTGTCGTGGTAAAGCTGTGGACTGCAACCAGTAGATGTGAAAGTCGACCGGAAAAATAGCCTATAGGATGGGCAATAAATAACATTGGTCGTAGGAGGGAAAGACTGTCGTATTTAAATTGGACATTACCATTGAAAAATAAAAAAATGTTACCGGGCGGTGGCGGCACAAAATAAATAGTACAAAACTATTTTACATACGGCTGTCGTGCGTGTCGCGGCAGTGACGATGGCGATAATAATACTCGAATGCTCTGATACGTATATATAACATTAAACTATACATAAAGGTGTTGTATTATGTATTTAAATGGCATACAATGTGTTTTTGAATTGACGTTGTCTCTCAGAGGCCATTACTTCTTGTGACAGACAGTCGTCACTCATCATATAAGTGAATACGTATACAGTATAACAAAATATTTTCAATTTCTTACATTATGATACGTTCAAGAATACAATGTAATTTATATCATTTAATCAAAAGCTAAACTTTGTAACATTTGATAGAAAAAAAAATTCACTTGATTACTTTATGTTTATAAAAAAATGTTATTGAATAAGATATTATCGTGACATGCCGTACTATACTATAGACAAGCTACGCGTATTTATAATTATGAGATAAATGTATCAATTTATTTTAATTTAATTACATAATCGTGTGGCATAATAAAATTTAAAATGAATCAAGATGAATACATAACGACGAACAACTTAATACAGACAAAATATTTTGGTATAAAATAAAACAAAGAATTATGTCAGTAGTTTTTATAGCAAGAGTATTATTACTTCTGTAGAATTTTGTACAAAAATTGTTTCACGCATTGTCACACTAATAATGATTAAGAGTTGCTTGTCGGGGCTTATACATTAAATTAAAATGACATGCGTTTACTCGTATTATTAATTGTGAGGCTTCACATAAAGATTTTTAATACCATGTTACAATACTATATTGTGAAACTACAATATTGATATCGCACTCGAAATCTTACATTAATGTGGTTCAATGCCATACATTATAATGTATAGAATAATCGCTTGCCAAAATATCATTTAATTTCACAGAGGCCCAACTTTAAATTATTAGTGTGCTTGATTTGAATAATATGGCTTGTGTTCAATGGACATGAATATTGTGATACAATAATAAGTAGTAAGAATTAAATCTTACTTTTGAGAAGAAGACGCCGTACACAAACTAGCGAATTTTATCGTAAAAATATAATAAGCAAAAATAAAAAAGTATTTAAATTGTGTATAAATTGCCAATTATATTCATCTAAATAATTTTTGACGAGATGTACCACCATACTAAATTTAACCATGATGTTTAATATGTATTAATAATAATATGATGAATTAAACATAATACATTAAAAACAATCTTTCTTTTTTTTTATAATAATAATAATTATTATTATTATTATTAAATTACAACTATATAACAATAATAGCTGATGCCTTAAGCCAATAAAAAATTAATTAATTAATTTTTATTGAAGTTTTCACAAAACATTTTTTATCTTTTTATTCGGAAAACTTATCAATATGGTCTTAAAAACTATTGTTTGTTGTAATATCAATTGTATCTTTAATATGATTTTTACTACGTTTTTGTTAATCAACTAAATTTTATTTTTTTAGAATTATAAAAATTGTATATAACTTATATTTGTTGGGCGAGACCTTCTTACTTATCTTGAGTAAGCTTTGTACAAATGAACCGAATGGCTTTCCATAAATACAACACTGGTAAAAACTACACTCATCTATATTGTTTGTCTTCATACGTGCTAAAGGTATTATGACAAAAATAGGAAATTCATTGTATTTGGAAGATTTTATCTGTGTCACCAAAGAAAACTATTTCATGAAACTAACCAATAATGATAAATTTAGTAATAGGAAACATTAAGTATAAAAAAGTACGTAACATAAGATATTAAGATATAGTTAAGTTTAAACTCATAAAGTAAGAAAAACTTCAAATAAATACCATATAAAACATATGTTTTTCTTATTATAATAATGGAGTTTTAAAATACATCATGAAATTGAATCAAATCAAATAAAACTATTTGATTTGAACGGATAACTGTTCAGTTTTCATTTTATTCGTAGACATCTATTAAAACATATGAACAAAATTACCTTAGTATATGTTTAAAAAAATATTACAGAATTTATTCTTTTACTCTAAGTCATATAAAAATGAAAATTTAGTCGATTAATCAAATAAATTATTTTAAATATTAATTTAAAAATTGTGAAATTGGGTTTGTTAATTTTTACAGATATTTTTTTTTTTTATCATGTTTCATCTATTGTTATTTTGGCTTTTAATTTGATCCACAGATGTTTCTTAATGTTTCATTTTTTTCCATTTAATTGTTTACTATATATAAGAATTCGGCTGTGTCGATGTGTATAGTTAAGTGATATTCCTTACCGATTACAATTATTAAAGGAATAATAGAACCGTCAAAGAACTTATTATGTAATGTATAATTATAAGCCATAATAAAACAATAACGTGCACGAATAATGGCGTCGAAATGAAAAAGCAAAACTAAATCAAAATAAAATAATACTGCGATGGGAATTTAAAACGACTAAGTACGACTCCGACAATGGGTGTGGGGAAAATCAAGAAAAGGTAAAGTATTATAAACGATATTGTTGGAAAAGCTCACTCCGTCAGTTTGCGACATGCGATTATATCATGCAGTAATAACGACATCAATGAAATATACAGCGACGACTCTGCGTGTAATAATAACTTCATTTTGTATTTCATACGCATAATATGCTGGAAATTTTCCATTAAAGTTGTGAAGAATCCGATACGTGTATGATTTGTATTATTTCGTAATGCGCAAAACGCAGACCACTACCCTAAGTCATTCGGAATTTAAATTAAATTGATATTCATTTCTTTAATACTTCATCCGACTTAAAATATCTTAGCATACATTTTTACTATCTATTTCTATCTATCAGACTCTACAATATAATTTTTCGTTTATTTTGTCTGTTCATCATACAATGCTTAAATTATTCATCATTCAATATTTATACGCTTAAAGCTTGAATTTATTTCTAATGAGGTTGCTGTGTCATGGAATTTAAGCTAGCGACTTAAAAAAATCAGAGAAAATATATATTGAAAATAAAATATGGTAGGGACGGTAATGGCCGAGACGGTAACGCGACAGCGCTTTACGCGCATTGCCTCTGGTTCGAAACTCAGTCACGGGCGGCTTCATTTGCCTAGCAGAGATCAGTTTGGTAATTGGATTCGCCGTCTCCCTCTCCAGTGACAGACTAATCGTCCCGGAGTATCAATGGTTAAGAAAACCTCCCCTTTGTGGAAGGACGATATGGCTCTTAAAAGCAAAAAAAAAAACTATGGTAATGAAAACGTTTGATTGTACTGGAATTTTAATTGCACAAAATATTTAAAAAATAACTTATATACTAATATTTACTATAAAATTTCCTATTAATTAATATTTCTCGTGTACATATCAATAAATACATTAGTTATTTTAATTTAATCAAATAAACAGATAAAGCTGATGTTAAATTAAGACAGCCTGTGAATTATTAAATTTATTTACAACATTTTAAGTACGATTTATGCAATGTTTTTGACAAACTTTTTTGGAATTACGGGTTTAATTACCATTTAAATTTAATAAGATTACAAATTTAATTATCGTCGGTAAAACTTTTAATATTACATAATAGTTTAACTTAAATAGAATTACTAAATAAACGATTTGTCAGCCAACATATAGTAAGACAAATTCGCTGTCACAAATTACTTCCCCATTGAGTAACTAAACAAACTTTCTAACAAAACATCAAATGGAACAATACACCTAGAAACCACTGTAAAGAGATTTAGAACACATATGACTGACACATGAACACCTAATATGAAACAAAGAATCGTGTTCACATGTTACGCATTTAGCGTGAAACTCAATAGAATAAAACAGAAAACATGCATACCGAATAATTCCTCGAATAATGCGTTTTACTTGTTGAGTACTCCGGAAAGAAATTATTTAGCTTACAAAAAAAAAATAAATTTTTTCCACAAAGTACAACGCTATAATGCATATATATAATATAAAATGTTTTCTACTATCCAAGCAAAAGTTATTTTTATTATATTATTTACTATGTACTCATTTGAAATTCTCAGAATAATACTTGTACAACAATAGTCCAAAAATAAAAGAAATGTTACTTTGTCTACAAGAATAATAAAAATGAACATATAAATTGATTTTATCGTAGAAGTAATTATAAATGAATTATCAGTAAAGTATTGTTTTATTTAATAATTTTCAAAAAATAATAATTTTATAAAATATAAAATGAAAATTAATTTAGTTACACAGATAGTGGTAAAATAATTACGCCAGTAATTATAGTATAGCATAAATCAAGTGTTGTTTCGAATATACAATTTTATTATTTACGAAAAAAAATTTATTTTTTACTCATAAAAAATATTAATAACTATAAATATTTCTAGTGACGAAGACAGGATTTTTACGTGGGAGGAGGTCTAAGAAACTTTTCTTGTTTTATAATATATTTTTACTAGTGACAAAGTCATAGTATTTATAGTAATAATTTGCCAACGGGGAGGATATAGACCCATTA